GATCAAGCATCGCGGAAAGTTCTCAATAGTTGGTGCTTGTGAAGGTGCGATCGCCGGATTGGTCGGAATCACCCCAGCTGCCGGCTGCGTGTCGTTCTGGCTCGCTGCGTGCATTGGATTCATCACCGCGGTTGTCTGTTCCCTTCTTCAGAACGTGAACGAGTGGATCGGTGTCGACGAAGGCCTGGATGTTTTCAAACTCCACGGCATTGGTGGAATGGTGGGTGCATTTCTGACAGGGTTGTTCGCCAGCCAGAAGATTTCGGCCTTGGATGGCAGCAGTCTGGCGCCCGGAGCGATCGATGGAAACGGAGTGCAAGTTGGAAAACAAATCGCGGAGATCTGCGCCATCTCCAGCTATTCGTTCGTGGTGACCTGCGCTCTGCTGCTGATTCTCAAGTACATCCCGGGCATGAACCTTCGGGTCAGTGAGGAAGCCGAGTTGTTAGGGTTGGACCAGACCGAGTTCTTCGACGAGCAAATCGGGGACTGGTCGATCACTCAGGGAAGTACTAGTCCTACCTTGATCGGAGTGTCGCAGAATTCATCCGGCTCCATCACGAAGGAGGAGTGCCAGGTGAAGGGGAGCGGGGTATAGACCTGCTGCAGTGTGCAGTATGTATTGTTTATTTTTGTGTTGGAGTGCAAGAACTTGATTTCGGAGCGTTTGCCGATCTCTATGCCTGTAACTGCGGAAAATCGATAGATTCAGCAGCAGCAATACTGTGGTAGATTATTTAGACGCGCGGCCTCCGATCGTCCACCGTATCGCGTTGTTGCATGGGTTGCACAACGAGATTCATGGTTGCAAGGTATCATTGGGTGTTGCTGCTCTGACAACGTTGATCGTAAGCCGGGCGTGAGCTGTCAAGCTCGGGCCGGATAAGCGGAATGATGCCATATCACCACCGTCGAGCGACAACAGCCTGGCAGGGTACGGTGGAGCCCCGGAGCTAAATCCGGACATATCGTCATCGTCACCAGATAGCCATGGATGGTCGGATACATCCGACGTCGCTTGGTGGTCTCCAGAATAAAGAGATGGCTGGTTGGTGTCAGGCGTCCAACCGAAGTGAAAGATGGAGTTGATACGGGAGAGGATCTCAGACTCTCAGACGCTCTCAGTGGAACGAGGGGCAGCCTGGAGGACAGGTGGTGGAGGGCAGGTAACCAATCACCGGTTCAGGCGGTGGAACAAGGCGTGCAGAGCTTACGTCAACCCCGGCCGGGGTATTTTCACAATTTGATTGGATTCATTTGATTCACTGCATTCTTGGACCAGGCAGGCTGGCCGAGACCCTTCCACTTAATCTCCCGAAGATACTAACTTACTTAGTAGATTGCCATTATCTACTGTGTACTGTGTACATAAGTAGGTGAGGATGAAAATGAAGAAGACATCTACTGGTAAAGATCGTCGATCAGAGTCAATCTCATCATCGATCTATAATTAACAATTAACCTCATCAAACGATTCCATGATGCTCAATACGAACTCCCTTCAGGTTAAGGTTGCAAGGGACCTCGGAAACGTGGTGCAGGCTATTATCTGCCTTTTGTATACGCAAGTCTGGCCGCTTCCCGACCATTCCCGGATAGGCTTGGAGGCTTCCTCCTGCATCCGTTCCCGTCTTGTCGGTCGGACCTCATCCACTTTTCCTTTTTGCCTTTTACCTTTTTGGCCGTTTTCCCTTCGTCTCCCTCACTCTCCAAACTAAATCATCACCCTTTCCGACTCCTCCTCTTCCTGCCATTCTTCACCTCCCCACTCCTCATTTCTCCCTTTACACTCCTCTCGTTCCGTCTATTTTCACCTCTAACTCTGACTTTCGGATTGCATCTCTGGTTCTCCTCTACCTTTGACTTTCTACTCCATCTTGCTTCCTCGTAGCAAGAGCCATTCGTTTGTCACCGTTCCTCCCGTCGACTGTCGCATCTCCCTTATCTGCGACCGGCTCCCCGCCCGCCTTCCGTACCTTTTGCGATCACAACATCCACACCTTGCTTTGCACCCCTTCGACTGCTGACAACATTCGCTATTCTCCTGCTTGTCGCTGGCTCCAAGGTGGTCATGCGGCTCGGATTGTTCACACATTTACAATACTAATCTTAATACCACCACCGCGATCCCCATGGGCAAATGTAAGTTGTCGGTCGCATTTCCCCACCGGAAGTGGATTTTCAGGGTGCTAATGCAGGGTCTCATAGGGCGCTATGGAGTCGTCTTGGACGCAGGCTCGTCTGTATGTTGGATCCCGGTGGGCTCGATAAAGATTACTTTCGCTAATGCCTCGACAGGGGACTCGAGTTCATGTCTATCGATGGTTAGACAACGCCATCGCTCGCAAAGAGGCTGACGGAGATAAGCTCAAGTCTCTCCCGGAAATCAAAACAAAATCCCACTGGACCAAGAAAATTCACCCAGGTACGACTTCTAGGATGTAATGGATGCTTGAAAATTGAACCCCAGATTAACACTCATGGCTCATAGGAGTATCTTCTTTCGCCAACAAACCAGAAGATGTGGGACACGAACATCTTGCGGAACTTCTCGAACATGCCCGTGAAATCGTACCCGATGATGCTATCAAAGACACCCCGATCTTTCTCCTTGCCACTGCCGGTATGCGTCTGCTAGGCGATGTCGAACGGAAAGTCCTGCTGGAGCAGATTTGCTCATACGTCGGCGCGAACTCGGATTTCTTGCTTCCCGACTGCGATGTTCATATCCAGGTTATCCCCGGAGTGACGGAGGGGTTGTACGGTTGGATTGCCACGAACTATCTCCTCGGAAGCTTCGATTCGCCAGGGTCTCATGATCACGGCAAGGGTCACCACACGTATGGGTTTTTGGACATGGGTGGCGCATCGGCACAGATCGCATTCGCGCCCAACGCGACCGAGAGCGAAAAGCACGCGAACGACCTGACGCTACTGCGGCTGCGCAACATTGACGGATCGGACCAGGAACACAGGGTTTTCGTCACTTCATGGCTGGAATTTGGGGTGCATGAGGCTCGGAGGCGCTTCGTTGAGTCTCTGCAGGCGGCCAGTGCTGTTGGAGGAGTCACGGAGCTCCCGGATCCCTGTTTACCTGCAGGATTGCGTACGACTATCGATGGAAAGCCACTTCTCCCGAAAGACGACAGTATGCATCTACTGGGGACTGGAAAGTTTGACGAGTGCTTGCGGCAAACATATCCTTTACTGGACAAAGATGCGCCTTGTCCGGACCAGCCATGTCTCCTCCGTGGTGTGCATGTACCAGCCATTGACTTCGATGTAAACCACTTTGTCGGGATCAGCGAGTACTGGCATACGACTCACGAAATCTTTGAGATGGGCCACAAGGACAAAGCCTACGACTTTCACACCTACCAGGATCGCGTGCAGTCTTTCTGCTCTCAAGACTGGGCGAGCATTGAGGCTGGACTTGAGAGCCACCAATGGGGCAAGAAGGTCGATCGGGAATCAGCCTCCGAGGTTTGCTTCAAGGCATCCTGGATCATCAATGTATTGCATGACGGCATTGGGATCCCCCGTGTAGGATTGGACGAAATGAAAAGCTCAAACCACAACGGGACCAAGGAGGTGTTGTCCCATGGTCAGAGCAAAGGTTTTCTGGACTCTTTTCAGGCTGCGGACAAGATTCAGGACACGGAAGTGAGCTGGACTCTCGGAAAGATGGTTCTGTATGCATCCTCGCAGATACCTATCGAAGCTCAAGAGGCACTCCCGGTAGGCTTCGGCAGCAATGTTGCCGGGGTCCCTAGCGACTTTCAATATCCGAGTGCCGATCTGCTGCCCGATCCTGAAGGCGCACACAACGGATCATGGCGCGACGCCATGCTCGACAGCAGCCCATCCCGCAGATTACCTGGCCTCATTCTCTTCCTGCTTATAATAGTCGTGGCTGCATTTTTCCTCTGCGGGCGCAGCCGCCGACTCAAGATGTATCACAAGATTCAGAACGTCTTCGGTGGCGGTGGTCCTTCTCACCCCAGCTACCCCAAGAAACGGAGAATTTTTGGCGGGAAGCTGCCTTTCTTCGGCCCGAGAAGTCCCACCTACGAACGCGTTCTTGAGGATGGTGCTGCTGCCTATGATCTCGGTGAGACGGCGTCCAGCCGCAGCTCCATCGATGGGGGGCGTCCATCGGAAGCGGACTCCACGAAATTCATGGCACCGAAGCGGGCATCGAGTTGGGGAAGCGGTAGCAATACACCCACTTTCAAGTACGCGCTGGACAACTCATCTTCAGGGACTATTGGACTCGGTATTACTCCGAGTCCGGGTGTCTCGGCGATGGATCGACATGGTCTCGTGGTGAGGACCGAGAGCAGGGATCACCTGGCGCCGGTGGCACTGGGCCCGACGACGAATGGTCGCCGGTCCAGAGCTGGCAGTCCTTCTCGATCTCAACCCAATAAATCGCCAGTCATGACCCCTCTTACAGATGAATGATCCTTCTGTATGATTACGATTATGTTCGCCGTGTTGCATTTCCAGGAGTTGGTGTTCCGCATTGTCAGGCCAGGACTTGGATTGGTGTTGGCCGTGTAATTTCCGGAGTTGCTTCTTGGTACGATATTTTCGGAGCACGTGCTCTTGAGTACATAGTTACTCTGTTCGAACCATCTGTCAAAGTATTAGACATAGCCGATTTAGTCAATGCCAGGTGCAAACATCTACTTTCATGAAACCTTTTTTCGGATCTGGATATGGATACTTTAGAGAAGAGCGTCACGTGCGAAGGTGCACAAGCTGAGTCAGCCACACACCGCCCTGGCAAAATCATCCGTGATTGTGAAGCCCGGACAGGGCCAGTCGCAGCGGACGAAGCTCCCGCCACTCATCCTGTCTGTCACCACCCACCGAAAAGCTTGCGATTTGCTGTCGTGTTCAGTCCACTTTCCTTCCGATCTTCTTATTCATTGCTTTGTGTTTCCACGCGCATGATACCCTAGTTCCAAACACGAGACCACACATCCACCGCCACCATGCGATTGACCGTCGAACTGATCCAAAATTCCCTCTCGTACATCAACCCGCTCAAGGACCGCGAGCTAGATCTCCGAGGTGCGTTTTGAAGCCCCAAATCAACCACGGCCCCCAACCTCCCCGGGAAATCTGAAAAGTCAGATACTACATCTTGTCTAAAGGAGCTGGATTGATATCGAATTGTTGGCGCGATTGGTGGTATGTAGGGCACAAGATCCCCGCGATTGAGAACTTGGGTATTGCCAAGGTGAGTTTGCCTTTCCCCCTCAATTGTTCGCAGTGGACAGTATGTGCAAGAAGTCAAGACCTCGCTAACCGGGGACTTTTCGGGTGTAGGACCAAGATGCAATCGACCTGACGGACAACGACATCACCACGCTGGGCAACTTCCCCTTCTTCCCGCGGCTGCACACCCTCCTCCTGGCGCGGAACCGCATCAAGCAGATCCAATCGACGCTGGCGGCGTCGGTGCCGAACCTGACGGCCGTGAACCTGACGGCGAACGCGGTCGCGGAGCTGGCGGATCTGGATCCGTTGCGCGGGTTGACCGGGTTGACGCATTTGGTGGTGTTGGAGAATCCGGTCACGAGGAAGGAGGTTAGTTTTCCCTTAGGTTGTGTGGTTCAGGGGATTGGGTGTATGGCGGGGGGGGGGTCTGTCTTTCGTTTACTTTGCTAAGCATGCTAATCGTCTGGCCGCGCACAGCACTACCGCCACTACCTCATCTGGCGCATCCCCAGCCTGCGGTTCCTGGACTACCAGAAGGTGAAGGACGCGGAGCGCGAGAAGGCGACGGAGCTGTTCGGCACGGCCGAGGAGCCTTCGGCGCTGGCCTCGAAGATCATGGGCGTTAAGTCGCGGACCTTCGACGTGCCGGCCACGGCGCAGCAGATCGGGGCCGCCGCCGGCGCCGGGGACCGCGCGGTGCGGGTGAAGTTGACGGACCGGGAGCGCAAGCGCGTCGAGAAGCTGATCCGCGAGGCCAAGAGTCTGCAGGAGATCACGCGCTTGGAGCGCGAGCTGAATGAGGGGCGGATACCGGGTGGTGCGGTGGATTATGCGGATAGTGGGGATGAGATGGAGACTTAGTCATGTTGGGGATTCTGTTGTATTTGTGGGTTTATTGCATACGGATACTGTTTCAATGGAGTGTGGTTTGGTTTGCGGTCATGTGTAAAGGTGGCTGATTTGATGGATATCTTCTGGTTCAGAGGTTAAGGATTGGGTAGGGTTGGCTATTTTACAGCTCAAGCTTGAGTATGCGACAGCTCAATTGTTTGGCCAAGATCTCGCTACTCTAGTGTCTGTGATGAGTATGTACAGTCCCATTGTGAGGCCAGCACAATCACAATTAGATAAGATATCTTCACGTGAAGATAGGCCCCGACAACATCCGTCCTATAGTCAAAACGTCATCACCTCCCATATTTCCCTGATTCCCACTGAATTGATCCCTATTAATCCCACCGACTTACTCCTACAATCCCCCCCTAATCAATACCCCTGCAATCATTCCCAAAGCAACAGTTAGTTAACGGTAAAAACCAAGCTGGCATCACCAAACCACCGCCTCAAACACCTCACCCGCCTCCTCCACGTCCACGTCCAACTCCAACCCCACCGACCCCTCACCACCACCACGAAAATGCCCCAAGCAACAGCAAAAGCACCAGCACCCTGGTCCCCCCTCCTCAAAACCCACCTAACCTCCAGCAAAAGCAAATCCTTCACCCTCTCCACCGTCACCCACCACCCGACCACCGGCCTCCCCGTGCCGCGCTCCCGCACCTGCGAGCTGCGCGGCTTCTTCCCGGAGGTGCTGAGCCTGCACCCCAGCGCCGCCTCGGCGCTCGACGCCCAGGGCATCGACCGGACCCCTTCCGGGCTGGAGAGCGACATGCCCGTGTTCACGACGGATATCCGGATGGCGAAGGTGGGCGAGTTGGGGGTCAGCGGCGGGCAGGTGGAGGGGGTGTTTTGGCTGGAGGAGGTGCAGGTGCAGTGGCGGGTGAAGGGGAGGACATGTGTTTTCGGGGGGGAGGGTAAGGAAGAGGAACAGAAGAGGGTTTGGGAGGGGGTTAGGGGGCAGGATGCGGGGCTTGTTGAGGGAGACTGGGACTGGGAACGGATGGTGACGACGTATTTTGCGAGTCATTCGCCGGTCATGCGAGGTTTGTTTTTCTCTTGCTTCCGGAGGGGTTGGGCTAATGGGTTACTGGTGAAAATCTACAGGCACGTTTAGGAACCCGCCGCCGGGACAGCCGCGGTCGAAGCACCCGGAGACTTCGGAGCTGAAAATCGGGCAAAAGGTTGAGGATCTGCGGGACCCGGTTGCGAGACGGAACTTCCGCGTCGTGGTCATCAAGCCCGAGGAGGTGGAGATGTTGGATCTTTCCAGGGCGCCGGATGCTGTTCGTAAGAGGTGGACGGTTGTGAGGGATGGGGATGGGGACACTGAGAGGTGGGAGGAGGTTGAGCTGTGGCCTTGATTTTCCTGGTTACTGTTTCGGGAGTGTGGTTGGCACAAACAAAGACAGTGTCTTCTGGAGTGCTTTAGTTGTTCGTGTCAACAATGGATTCAAAAGGATTGGGCAAAAGTTCAATGACTCTTTCAGGACTCTTTTGCTGAAACCATTGTTGTCTTTGTTCAAACAAAGGCCTGTCTTGTGCCCCGATATAGCTCGGTCGGATTTAGACTGCTATGCCTTCAGGCTGTTCTGGATATAGATCGATTTCGTCTCAGCTCCTTGTAGTCGGATCGATTCAATGAGCTATCATTGTAGTTATCCTCATGCTGAAGGCTCGAGTAGCTCTATCTTTGGGATATATAGGCTGGCGGTTGGGACTCGCACCAGATCTTGACAGCAATCCCACAGCCAGCTAGCTACTATCAGCCCACTATTCCAATCACTATAGCTCTATATCCCAACTCCACAATAGCTTATTCCTATCTTCGCAACTATTCGTTGAACCATGGCCCGAGTCATAAATACAGGACCCGGAGACACCGGTGCCAAGGTTGCTGGAACGGCCCAAAAGAGGCAGACTAGATCTACCACCGCTGGAACGGCACAGGCAAGCGCTGGGCCATCGACTGCGAAGGTGCCCACCACTGGAAAGCAGGCTGCTCAACCTACTAGCTCAGTGGCCGGGCCATCGACTGGAAAAGTGCCTGCCGCTGCAAAGCAGGCTGCTCCACCTACTAGTTCAGTGGCCGGGCCATTGACTGGAAAAGTGCCTGCCGCTGCAAAGCAGGCTGCTCAACCTCCTAGTTCAGTGGCCGGACCATCGACCGCAAAGGTAGCTGCACCGACAGCTGCGAAGAAGAATGGAAAGGTTTGTTGCGCATTTTGGGAGAAAGAAGCTGTCTTTCGCCAGGCCTGTACTAACTGTTGCAATATCAGCCCAAGCGTGGCAGACCTAGAACAGCATGCTCACCATGTCGCCGCGCCAAAAGGTCATGTCCGCATATGAGAGAGGAGGAGGAAGAAGAAGAGGAAGAGGAGGATGATGATGATGGCCAGAAGCAGCTTTCTGAAAAGGCGAAGGGCAAACAAAAGATGAAGCGTGCCGATGATAATGATGGCGACGACGACAATGATCAGAAGCAGCTTTCTGAAAAGGCGAAGGGCAAACAGAAGAGAAAGCGTGCCGATGACGATAATGATGACGATGACGATGATGATGATCCAGGCCCAAAACCAGCTAAAAAACGGGGTCGGCCTGCTAAGAATCAAGCAGCTGTTGCTGGACCTTCAACCGTCCCTCAAATTGTTGCCGGTCCTTCAGGGAGTGCTCCTGCGCCTGCAGCACCTGCAAACTTATCCAACCCACTGACGGCTGCCGGGCACATCGTAACACACCAATACATGAGTCAGCAATTAGGCCAGCGACTCGACGAGGCTGAGAAGAGATGGAAAAAAGCCATGGAGGCCATGATGAAGGCCAAGCAGGCTTTGGATGCCTGGAAAGACTTCTACTTGAAGCAAAAGGGATCGCCCAGTTAGCCAATCTCGGGCGCCACCAGCTCAGCAGCTGAGCTCAGTTAGCATGTATAGAGCATTTTTTCTGCAGTGCAATAGAGTTCGTTCATTTCGTTTCACTTGGTGTCTTGGGTGAGCTCGACCATGAGATCTCAGAGACGAATTTGTGGCTGATTGAGGTCTATGATTCGAATAATGTTCGGCGAAGCCAGAATTACTCGGCATAAGACTGGTGGCTTGCACATGACGAAGCTGTGTTCCGGAGAACAATCAATCACTGCACAGGCAAAAGCGTCCAGCAAAGGTTGTGTGACCTGTAGAAAGTTGGCAAGGTATCGTTTGGCCCGCATGCTCTCTTGGGGGTTATTTTCCGAAGTACTATTTCGTGCGTTGTGACCGGTGGGCGGATCGATAAGCATTAACATCTCGTGCTCGATACGGTACCATTATGTTCACCCACCAAGGAATCACCGAAGGACATGTCATTGCGGCCAGGGGTGTCACCTCCCTTCCATCCTGTCTTTGAAGGATCACACAACATTAAAACCACCGGGCCAACCAGCTACCGGTTTCCTGACTTGGGACGATCGGCATTTCCATCCAGTCAAACATGATAGACTGCAAACATGGTAACTTGACAGCTACGTGGGTTTTGATCGTCGGCTTGAAACTCGTCCCTAATCAGGGGAGGAGCTGGAGGGGGGTATAATGTTCGGATATAAGCAGCACGGTGAGGATGCTAGCCCATCGCCGCCGTCATCCGTCGCAAGGTGCATGTAGACCGTTACGTGTCATGACTCGCTTGGGTAAAGTCGCCGTTACCATAATCAAACAAAGCGACCATTGCGTTCGGATCTCCCCTGCTGGTTGCATCGTTCATGGATTCCTTGCTTGTTCGACAGTCATCGGCACCAGGCAGGAGGATGAGCGGAACGGTTGGACAAAGTGCATGCTGGTTTTCAAACTCGCTTGTGGTCGCCGATGCACGTGCTGCCACTTCAAGGCGTCTTGTCGCTACTCAGTACAATCGATCGAGTCGTGAGACTTCCCCTGTTTGAGATTAATGACCGGTCAGGCTTCGAAAAATCCTCAAACATATGGAGGGTCTCATTTTCTAGAAGGTACGGAGTACTTCGTCTTCGACAAGTATTGCGGCTGAAGATGCGAGTCAGCGACTTTAGTGGAGGGGTGTCAACGGCCCCCATTAATGAATCAGTAACTAAAGTCGTAGTTCTCGTGCATCCAAGCAAGCAGTGGAAGGAACCGTAGCGGTACTTCGTTAGCGGCTGTTCACCGCTTGTCCGTCTCTTGCAGGGAACATGGATGTGATCCCATCTCGGAGTCGATTGTTCTTGGAAGGAAAGCGACAGGAAAGGTAGCAGTAGTAATACTCACTAATCGTAGTAATTCCCAGGCATCACATGGTGATTGAGAAAGGGATGGAAGCTTCCGTATTGTCCGAGTGGCCGGAAGGGAGGAAATGCAAAGTGGTACTGAATGTACTGAATGTACTGACTGGTACGGGTACGGGTAAAATTACGGCCAAGTTCACAGACCCACGCTTCGGGCTTCACTTTTCGGGGACGTCACTTTTAGCTTCCTCTGTAACTAGGTCTTCCCGCCAAACCTACCAGTCTTCATTCATTCTTACTCTCTTTTCCTTTGGCTGTTGCGCTCTCTCTCTCTCTCTTCCCTGGGTCCTTTTCTCCAGCATCCCCCCCTCTCTTCTCTCCCCCCTCCCTCCCTCCTTTCCCCTCCCCTCATTTAGCTGCTCTCACTCTTACCCCCACTCAACTCGCTGAGAATTTATTCTCATTCATTTTTTTTATGTTATTGTTTGCTTAAACTAAATCTCCCGTCCGCTAATTTAGTGCCACACACCTTCGCGTGCACTAGTCCCTGACCCATGGAGCCATCATTGTAAGGGTCTTATTAGAGTAGCTCGCCCAGGCTCAACTTCTTCATCACCATACTCAATCTTCTCTCCTTTATCGGCCATTCCTAACGATCTCACGACGAGACGACCTACCATTGTACCGCCCCCTTTGATCCTCCTCCTGGCCGGTCAGCTGGGTAGCTTCTAAATCCCGGGGACTATCGCGCGGTCCCACAACCTTCCAGATCGACCTCGGACTCGGAAGTACATATCCGAGGACCGAAGTGCACTTTTCACCCCTTTCCCAAATCAAAGCACCAACCCACACCATGACCCTCGGCGAACAGATGGACGCTCTGGGAGCATTTTCTTATCTATCAGACAATGCACCGACTTGGATAGGTCAACTGTCTGATCTAGCTAACCACACTGCCGCCAAACACGCCGAATACGCCAATGCCTACAAACGACACGCCGCCCAGAGAACCCGCCGCCGCAGAAACAGCTCTATCTGCTCCATTCGCACGGATGACTTGAATTCGACACTTGCCAACACCGAGAGTCCGTCCCTCTCATCTGCCCCTGAAGCTCGAGAAGGAACTGCAATCACCACTCCGAATACCTCTCAAAATCAGCCGAACTCGAATCCCCGAAAACGCGGAGCCGACGAGGCACCCTGGGTGGACTCGAGTGATGGGGACATCTTCGTCAGTACACGGCACAACCTTATCATTGAGTATGATGGACACACACAGAAGACCTTGGAGGAAATGGTCCGCAATATTGGGACTGCCCGCAACAACATTCGCAAAGGAAAGATGTCACAGCTGCGCACATCCGGGTATCGCAGTGCCATGATGAGTCGCGGTTCAAGGATGTCGCCAATTACTGCCTCGCTTGCAAGCCCTACCTCAACGGAGGATGAACTCCTGACCAGCATCCGTAACGCTCGGAGACAGGGTCCCCCGGCGTCCCGAGCCCCGGCCGCGTCGCAGGCATCCCCCTTTGATGCCGCCGAGAAACAGCTGGAGGTTGTCCATGGACTGTGTGAAACCGCCGCCTACCATTTTCTCCGGGCGGGCGACTGTTCAACAGAATTGGTTACGGTGAAGCAGAAGCTCCAGAGTTTGCTCGACCTGGCCACCAAAGAAGTACACCGACTCAAGGCAGAGCAACCACACGTGGCTGTGGTGCAGGAGGAGAAGAAAGCATCAACGCCTGAACCGTTACCTGGCCCAACACAAACAACTAGGGACGGTGACCATTCCGTAACGAAGATGGCTACCATTGAGGTAGATGACGGATCTGACTCGGTCGAGTCCATTGACTTGACGGTCTTTCGACCCGGCCGGATCCGCCGATAGAAAACGAAGGTCCAGAATTGAAACACAGCATTTGGCGGGGACACTCATTTTACAGCGTGCACTGGGGGAAAAAACAAGCATTCGTTCTAATCCTGCACTGGCGATGATACCACTGAACCACACATACCAGCGTTTCCTTTTTTTCGAATCTCTTGGGACTGATGCACTTAACCCAGCGTTCTTCCATATATGCAAGCGAGCGTGGCTGTCATCTAATCAATCAATAGCGTGGTCTGGTCTTAGCATATTGGAGTTTAGCCTTTTTCCCCTCCTTAGCATTTACATTGACATAGATTACAAAGTTGCTTTCATCAATTGGATTTCCATCAACGATAATGTACCTCACATATGTAACCTTGAACCATCAACCCTCATCTATAAGTAGTGTAAGCGATCACAACTAGGTGAGTAGTGCACCCGCTCCCCAAACCCCATCCCAAACCCGACCGACTAGTCTAGTTCAACCGTAGCACTGTAAAAACCAAAACCCACCAGAACAATACCGGGCTCCATCCACCCGCATGATCGGGCTCCACTCGTTCACGGCAAATTCGACAAATTACATCATTGGCTAATTTCCATCTGCAGTCTGCCAGCAATAAGGAAAACAAAGTGACAGGGATCTTGATGCATCCATTGATGGGAAGAGGGGGGCGGGGGCGCAAGGGAAGCCACTCCCGGCTGACGGCTGACGGCTGACGACGGCTCGGGGCAATCAAACCTTCCTGCTACCCAAACCGTCCTAAAGTACCTAGACTACTACGGAGTACATAAGAATGTTTGGTGTTGACTAGGGACTAAGGAAAGCAAGCTTCTTGACTCGTGTCCCGATGGACCAATGATGGGGTCGTCCGGGGTGGGAATCGGGGGGGGCATCGGGGAGGGAGATGGCTCGGTACTTTTGAGGAAGTAGTTCTTTGGATCTGTGTGGGTATGGGCGTGTATGTGCTGTACTCAGTAAGCGAGGTGTTGGGCGGTGGGATATGCGCTGCAGAAGTGGCGAGCTTGGGAGGTGTAACCTTGGTAACTTGGGGATTCTTTGTTCTGGATGGGAATGTTTCGGGGGTAATTGGCTGTGGTGATGGCGAGCTCGGGAGGGAGAAGTTTTGACTCTGGGTGTGAGTGTGAGTGTACACAGTAGGCGGTACTTCCTTAGGGCGATCGGGGAAGTGGGAACTGTGGTTGCAGAACTGAACTTAAGGGTGGGGTGGGGTTGACAGGTAAACCTGGTAAGGGGCTAGACCCAGAGGGGGATAAGTTCGTGGCCGTGACAGCGGCCGCTGCTGGGGCTGGTTGGATGTGCTCTAGGGTTGAGGGCTGGTGAGTATCTTACTGTGGTTTGGCCAAGTTGAGGATTATTGCCTGAAGCTTTGTTCTGGGCTATAATGGCAGCAGTGTGTTAATGATGAACTGAAGTTAGGATCTAGGATCCATTGTCTCGCTTTGAGCCGTTGCATCGTCAGTTGAGTCGCTTCCTGTTTGATTCGCTCCACCATGACATGGTTCGTGATATCATGGGCCCTGCTGCTGAGCATGTTATCTGTCGCATCACCCAAGCCTGCTACCGAGGGCTAGAATTCCAATCAATCTCGAACTGAAAGTCGAATGCTCAGTCCAGTCGCTACCTCAAATACCTTTAAGACTCGTGCTGGGATAACTGAGGTTTAGCGATGATTTCTTTCACAGCATCAACGGGACTCTCGAAATGAGACATAGTAAGCTATTGATCCAGTACAGTGCATCAGTAAGCTTTATCATCTTGCAGTCATCTAATAACATGAACGGCTGATCTTATCTAATCTGATATCTGATCCGACTTTCTATCTTACCTACTCAGTACTCTTCGCTATATCCTGGCTGATCTTGGACTAAGCCACCTGGCCTATTGGCTCAACCTGAATGTAACTCTGTTCTGCGAGCTCTTGTACGACGCAAAACTTGCTGACTAGTTCCTCTGCTTGGTCTCGGGTGCTTAAGAGGTACGGGATAGGAGGGAGGTCTGGAGAATGGAAGGTTATAGAATAGGCTAACAGGCACATGTACAAGATGCGCGTCGAAGATAATCCATCTACACCTGTATCAGACACTTGCCAATGACCCCATGCTGCTATCTGATGCTGCTCACCTTCGGCTCTCAGGTCTTTTGACAATGAACTGTGATAAAAGCTCGTGGTCTGCTTGTACTCTTGGAATCGGGCTTGCGAGTACAATACAAGGTAGATACCGGTAACTCTATCAGATAACCCACTCGAGAGCAGTCAATGACCTCATGCACATGACCAGATCACTCACCTTGCACCGACAGGAGTCATTCACCCGACCGTTGAATTGGGGTAGTACAGTCCATCAGACGCGGACCGGGAGTGACTATGAGGGGCGGTGGTGCCTGCCATTCCGACAACCTACAGCAGGAATATCTCTGAAAGAGAGTGAATACACTCCTTCCAGGCATTCACAACCATCTATTATCATTGTCTGGCAATATCCTATTGTTCACCAGCATATCTATTGTTATCCAAGCCCGTTATCTTCACGTTGGCATATTCTTATCAAATCTCCTATAAAACGGCTAGGTCCACCATCTGATGTTGACGATCTTCATCTAGACCATGGATCTAGTTCAACCTGGCTCTATCACACCAAAGGACGTCCGCGATGAGCAATCGAAAATTTCACGTCATCATAGTGGGCGCGTCGATCGCGGGCCTGACTCTCGCTCACTGTCTTTCCAGCGCCAATGTCGACTTCACAATTCTGGAGGCCAGGGCCAGTCAGATCACTCAGGGCACTGGGCTCGTACTGCAGCCAAACGGGGCCCGGATTCTGGACCAATTGGGGTTGTATGATAAGGTACTGCGCCAGGCAGAGCGCATCGTGTCGTACACAACATATCTCGACAGTGGGCGCCTCCTACTAGACATTGACACACGGCACATAACTTCTCGGCGGTAAGATCTGATTAATGTGATTTTTGTTGAGCGGAGCTGATCTGAAGGTAGGACGGGCTATCCGCTCTCCATCATCTCACGGCAAGCATTATTGAGTATCCTCTTCGACCACCTTCCTCGCCAAGACCGCATCCGCTTCAACCAGAAGGTTATTCGAGTGGCTCCATCGGCCAGGGAAGTTACTGTCCACACCGCCGATGGTTCACGACTCTCTGGGGATATAGTGGTTGGGGCAGATGGTGTACACTCCATTGTACGCTCGCAGATGTGGCAATACATCCAATCCAACAGACGCGCTGCTCGGTTTGTTCTGGCGAGGGAGGTACCTCTGAAAACATCGTTTGCTGGAGTCTTTGGCACTGCCAACCCTGTCGCAGGACTCAAAACGGGCGTAGTCTACCGTACATTTGGAGCTGGATGGGTAATGCTCATCATGGTTGGCAAAGATGCACAAGTTTTCTGGTTCATCTCCATAGCATGGCCGCATTCGAGTCGGCAGGCTTGGAGACGTCAGCAAGGGAAGACGAGCGTTGCACCACTCCTGGCATCATTCCTCGACAAACATGTATCCAGTGAGGTCACCTTCGGGGAGCTATATGACCGCACAAATTCGTTCACGTTCGTTCCGCTCGAGGAGTCTTTCCAGAATCAATGGTCAGCAGGCCGATTTGCATGTATAGGGGACGCGGTGAACAAGGTAGGCAACCGTGCTCTACCATACCATCAGCCCCTAGGCTAGAACTTACCGGTTTGCAGACGACTCCCAACGTAGGGCAAGGGGCGAATTGTGCCATGGAGACAGCTGCTTCCCTTGGAAATTACATCATGCTAGCCAGCAGAACCGATGCTCCCTGGACGGAAGCCTATCTGGAGTCACGATTACAGACTTGGGAGAACGACCACAGAGGTAGAATGAGGCTGTTCTCGTGGGTATCGCAGTCAGTCGCACGCGTGGAGGCAGGTAGTAACTGGTGTCTGAGACTTCTCCGATCTTACTTCAGTTACTACCATGCCGCAATGGGCATTGCCCTTCTCGGTGATCTAACCCCACAAACGGCACGAGTACAGCATCTTCCTTTACCTTCGCGACGAACAGCTGATCCAAAGAGTCGGAGTGATCCACAGGAGAGGAGATGGAGTGTTTGGTTCTCAGGATTGCCTGTTGTGTCAACCATGATTGTGGCATTGCTATTCATTGTCCAGTCGCTCACAAGACCAAAGGATGGTGGAGTAGATTAGCTAGCTTGGCTAGGGCCATATCTTGGATAGAAAAGGAGCTGAACTCGCACCACAGAATTCTTTTGCGCGATATGATTTCCGACGGGGGCGATACAATAGTGAAGGAGGGAAGGCGACCGTATTGTTTGAGGCGGCATGAAGCGAAAAGAGGTTTTGGCTCGCTTCCCGCTCCGCCAGTTGGGCCCATTTGCGGGATTTACCAAAACCACTGATCTCTGTCTCGTACCAGCGTCAGGTCCAAGCTGCTTTAAGGACTGGTTCGGATTTACCCCTCAATCTCGCACTCCGCATGTGGTTTTGATGACAATCGACTGGGCCCTGCAAAAAATCTCGCATGGCAGCTGCATAGCGTCAAGAGCATGGTTGACACATGACAGAATGTGACCCCAAGTATAAAGAGCAAGCAAAGCACAATACGCTTTTGCCTGTGTTATTCTCCTTCAGCCTTCTCTCTTTCATCTATCTCTTCGGTGTCTGCTTTCCCCAGAGGGTCTCTACCCTCTAGTCCAACATGGCGCACCAACGGTCAAGCTCGCCAAAAGCAGAGGCAACCCGCCTCCGCTGGCAGAAGGTAGACGAAGAGACTGGTCTCCAGCCCAAGAAACTGCTTCCAGATCTCTCAAGAACTGTGTCAACCATGTCAAACAACTCTCAAACGTCTGCGCGGAGTCGGAACCGGAGGGCAACTGTTGATCCTTCTCTTTCATTACCAATTCATTACCGCACTGTGTGAGTGCTCTCTCTTAATAAATCTTTCAAGCATAGCAGATAAACTAACAGTGACCGCTGTAGCTCCTTCGACATCGATGAAACAAGAGAAAGGGAACTTGCTGAGACCGCCAAAGCGAAGAACAATGTCGTGACAGGTAGACATCATCAACTTGTAAGTTGTTATCCTGCGGGTCGTGGCTGACTTGTAATCTCTTTTCCAGACCTCTCGAACCTCGACTGGCATCAAATTTCCACCGAAGAGCTACAGAAACGATGGAAAGTCGATATATCGCAGGGGCTCTCACGCGAACAAGTCCAGCAACGCTTACAGGATTACGGAAAGAATGCTCTCTCGCCACTGCCACACCAGTGGTTCTGGCAGATATTTGGTTACTTCTTCAAAGGCTTCGGTGCCATCCTCCTTATAGGAAGTGTTCTGGTGTTTGTCTCATGGAAGCCTCTCGGGGATCCTCCAGCTATAGCCAATCTTGCCTTGGCTATCGTTTTACTTGCCGTGTTCTTCATTCAAGCTGGGTTCAATGCGTGGCAAGATTGGTCATCATCACGAGTCATGGCGTCGATCATTGCCATGTTGCCGGAAAGTTGTCTTGTTCTCCGCGACGGCTCACTCACTGTGGTCTCTGGACCGGAAATTGTTCCTGGTGATGTTGTGCATCTCACAGCCGGAACCAAGCTGCCTGCTGATTTACGCCTGGTCGAAGTATCCACTGACGCGAGCTTCGATCGTTCGATCCTGACTGGTATGCCCCCCCGACCTAAGACACTTGGCAGCTTGTTCTAAGAAGTGTCTGAAGGTGAATCCGCCCCGATCAATGGAACGGTCAACTCTACGGATGACAACTACCTCGAGACACACTGTATTGGTCTACAGGGGACACACTGCGTGGCTGGAAGTGCCGTGGGCGTTGTCGTCTCCACTGGTGACTCGACCGTCTTTGGTCGAATTGCCAAGCTGACCAGTGAGCCCAAGAAAGGCCTGACCACCTTGGAAAAAGAGATCCTGCGCTTTGTGTCATTCATTGTTGCAATCATGCTAGCTATGATCATTCTTGTTGTTGGAGTTTGGTATGTTTTGCCTGAAGCGCAGCATGTTGCTCGATACTCACAATCCATAGGGCTGGATGGCTTCGAAAAGAACATCCAGACTGGATCAACGTTCCTACTCTGATCGTCGACTGCGTGAGTGTTGCTATCGCATTCATTCCTGAAGGCCTTCCAATCGCCCTTACCGCAAATTTGACAATCACTGCCAGCCTCATGAGCAAGAACAAGATTCTATGCAAATCGCTGAAGACTGTGGAGACTCTGGGTGCTGTCTCTGTAATCTGCTCCGACAAGACTGGAACGTTGACAAGGGTTTGTCTTATGCAATTGCCGGAGCGTCACTGTTTACTAATCTTGTGGCCTAACTATCAGAACAAAATGTTTGTTACAGAGTGTGCCATCTCGACAACCTGCTTTAGCCCTGATTCAGCAAGGGATGAGATGAACAGGAAAGGCAAGAAGAGCGGAGTCCACCAGCTTCGCGCCATGGTCGGTCTCTGCAATGCAGCTGAGTTTGATGCCGCATCCATGCAGCTCCCGCTCCACGAAAGAGAGATCCACGGAAATGCCACTGATCAAGCCGTCCTGAGGTTATCCGAGGGTTTGGGATCGGTAGCCAAATTGCGCCAAACGTGGAAAAAGACCTATGAGCTGGCTTTCAACAGCAAGAACAAGTTTATGGTACGGACATTCACACTTGCTGAACCAGAGGGACTAGGACTCGCGATGTCTGCCGCAGAGTCTTCGCAGTTCAAGCGCAGCGATATGTAAGTTGGCAAACGCGCATTCCTTTGGGCAAAATGCTTACAGGCCCTGACTAGTCTTTTCACGATTAAAGGTGCACCGGACATTCTTATCGACCGATGCTCGCAATTCATTGATCTTGATGGCAGCGTGCAGCCACTGGAAGCGCGGATGCTGGCTCGGATGAAAGAAGTCAAGGACCAGTGGTCTGCAGAAGGAAAGCGCGTAATTCTCCTCGCGCGAAAACTTCTCTCTTCGGCTGAGATAATGTTTCAGCCATCCTCACATGAGTTTGAGACTGAAATGCTGAACCAAGCGAAGACCGGGCTGGTTCTAGTCGGCATGGTCGGTATTGTCGATCCTCCGAGGGAAGAAATTCCAGACGTCATCAGTACCCTGCGACGCGCAGGGATTCGGATCTTCATGGTGCGTATCCGTGCAGATATTGAGATCTGGGCTGCATTGTGCTAACTGCATCTCCACCAGGTAACCGGCGACTTTGGCCTCACAGCGCTGGCTATCGCACGGCAATGTGGAATTGTTAGCACAAACGGTCTCGTCGATGATGCGACTGCTCTCAGAAGATCAATGGACTCCGAGAAGGCCTCCAGTGCTCCTACTGCCTCCGCGATCACCATCAGTGGAGCTGACCTTATGAGTCTCAATGACAACCAGTGGGAACAACTCTGTCAGTACCAGGAAATTGTCTTTTGGCGAACCACTCCCGAGCAAAAGCTTCGTATTGTTCGCGAGTTCCGCGCAAGAGACGAGATTGTCGGCATGACTGGCGATGGTGTTAATGACGCGCCTTCTCTGAAGGCAGCTGACATCGGCATCGCACTGGGTAGCGGGTCTGACATTGCCATTGAGGCTTCTGACATGGTTCTTCTGGAGTCTTTCTCTGCCATCGTCGAAGCGGTACAGTACGGGCGGGTTGTCTTTGACAACTTGAAGAAGACAATTGTCTATCTTCTCCCAGCGGGTTCGTTCTCAGAGTTCTGGCCTGTCTTTTGCAATGTTGTCTTCGGGCTTCCTCAGGTCCTCTCATCCTTTCTGATGATCATCATCTGGTAAACCTCCCCCCTTTCCTGTTTTTAGATTAATAACTCGCATTAGCTAACAAGCTCAATCCAATCAGTTGCTTCACAGACTGCGCGGCCGCGACAGTCCTCGCCTACGAGAAACCCGAAGCCGACGTCCTCCTCCGTCCCCCACGCAAGCCCAAGCAGAACCGCCTCGTGAACTGGAAACTCATCTTCCACGCATACGGTGTTCTTGGCATTATTGAAACCGTCTGCTCCTTTGCCATGGCCTTCTGGTACCTTGAGCGCAACGGCGTCCCCTTCTCTGTCTTCTGGTTCAAGTTCGGCAATTACCCGTCCGACATTGACCAAGACTGGCTCACAGCCCGCCTCAACGAAGCCAGCTCTGTCTACTTTGTCAACCTTGTCGTGATGTAAGTTGCCTCCTCCTGTACCACCGCTCGTCGATGTTCTCTTCTCATTCCGACAACTAACATCGAGACCAAAAAACCAGGCAATGGTTCAACCTCATGGCCGTCCGCACTCGCCGCCTCTCCATCTTCTCGCACCCACCAGCCTTCAATAAAAAGACTCAGAACCTACTCCTCTTCCCCGCCATCTTGTTTGCCTTCGTCATGGCCATCTTCTGGCTCTATATCCCCCCGCTCCAGCGCACGTTGAACACAACCAGCGTCCCCGCGATCCATTACTTCCTGCCTGCGGCATTCGGGGTGGGGATCGTGGTGCTGGATGAGCTGCGGAAGGCGGGAGTGAGGCGGTGGCCGAACGGCCTCCTGGCTCGATTCGCGTGGTGAGAGTCTGTTGCTTTACTTTGCTTTGTGGCCGGTGGTTTGAGGAGTATTGCTTAGAGGCTAGGCTACATACATATGTACTTGGTTGGGAGGCCCACCGGCAGGTTACACCCGGAGCCCGGTGCATGTTGGTTCCGATTTAGACTGGGATCTCTGCTTCATCCGAATGGGGTAGGTAGACTAGCTTGTCGGCCATAGTGCAGTGGTCTGGTGGATTTGGACTCTGTCATACCTGGTTACTTACTAATTATGGGTTACGGCTGGCCGGGATATGGCTGGCTGGGCGGGAGGGGTTTTGAGTTATCTTTGTTCTTTTCGTTTTCTGATGTACATACATTCATACATACTTACATATGATATACGGTAATTGCATGGGTGGCATTTCTCCGTCCATGTATATCCGAATTGACTTCGGTAGGGCGGGGACAGTGGTCTTGTGTCTATTATTGATTTACTCTTTTCCTGGAGTGGACATCCAGAGTGATGTTTGCACATTGTGGTCGGTAATCAGGAAGCGGTCTGATCTACTGTCGCCACAATTGAGGACCAGGTATACCATGTGCACTCCGCAGAACTGACAAGCAAGCACCGTGAATAAAGACTCGACTATCAAATTGCCATAGCCTAGTGCTTTATCGTGTATGCAGACTACCACAGTCTCCCATCCTACGTTTGCACTCACTGAACAAGGTTTAATTTCAGGTATCATGTATATTTGCTCATTGATGGGACTTTTAAATAAGAAAAAAATAAATATGGAAACCAGATTTCCAAGACATATACAGCCAACACCACCGAAGCATAGATAGAAGACGTTGCGTGAGATCGTCGCCAGATACAGGACCAGAGAAGGGCGAACGGCGGATTGGGGAAAAGAAAAATTACAAGATAGATGATAGATGGGACAAAAAGGGAGGAGAGGAAGAAAGGGACGGGGTTTGGAGGGGTATTCTGTACAGACGCGGCGAGGGAGGGAGAGAGAAAGAGAGATGAAAGGGCAATCTATCACCAGAAGTAGGGGTTGCCGTAGACGTCTTCGTAGCATTGGTAGGAATCGGGGCAGCTATTACGCGCTTCGGTTAGCATCGATTGTTTGTGATGGAGGCGCAGAAGATAGAAGGGAAAAGAGAACGTACTAGACGGGTTCCTGTCCGAAGATGATATGCCAAGTGTACTCCATAACGCCCGCGGCCAGCTTGTCCGACAGCGGGGTGGTCAGCACCCACTCGTAGAACCACATGTAGTCGCTCAGGGGCCGCTGGAGCACCTGGTCGCGCGAGACGGCGAACTGCGAGCAGCAGGCGACGGCGACGACCTCGGGGACGTCGGTGTTGTTGAAGAGCTGCTCCCAAGCGTCCGCGTAGACCCGTTCGGTGGTCTGGCCCGACTGGGGCGGGTTGCGGAAGGGGCGGATCTCGTCCGGACAGCCGGGGGTCATCTGGCAGCGGAGGTTTGCGTAGCCGTTGCGCTGGACGAAGTCGGTCTGCAAGGCGCGGATCGAGTCGACGTTGCTGTATTCCATGGTGTCGGTGTGCCAGGCGCCCGGGTAGCCATCGCGGTGGCTGTGGATGAAGACGATCGTCGACGGGAGGTCGTCGTAGTGTTCAATGATATATTGGAGGTAGGCGAGACTCTCGCGGCCCTTGTTCTGGGGGGTGTGTTTGGCGGCATTGACGTCGTCGACGGTGTAGATGTAATTGCGCCAGCTGCGAGAACAGAGAAGATCTTAGTTAGCGAGACAATTCTGCTTCCATTGAAGAAAGCGCACAGCTGGGAGTTCCGGCGCAGTCGTGCATAGGAAACAAAAAAGAGAGTTCGCAAAGATAAAGTTTAGATTGAGGGGAAACATACTCCGCCAAGTCGTTGCTAACCCAAGCTGTATCCTCCGCGGCCAATTTGGCCATGACAATCACCCGATCATTGGGAACGATAATCGGAGTGGTTTCGTAGACTGGCCGTGACCCGAGCGCGATACCGTCGTCGTTGTCGTCCGCCGCGGCGGCGGATTGATCCTTCTTCCCCCCTCCCACCACCGGGAGTCCCTCCTTAGAAGCCGGGACAGTGGCATCCTTGCTCTTGTCGTTGGCCGCGGGATCCGACGAGCCCGAACCGCCGCTTACGCCGTTGAAGCTCCAGCCGGACTGGACGCGCGAATCATCCTGGACGAGATCGAGGTGGCGCTTGATCAGGAAGATGGCGACGATAAGGAGGGCGGCCGTACCGATACGGTAGGATAGTCTCATTTCATAACATTTGCTTGCTGTCTTACGGCCGAGGGGGGCTTTGGAATGGGGGGCGTGGGTGGCTGAATTCTGGATAGAAAGAGATTCCAATGAGCGATCGGTTCTAAGGCAAGGAGAAGGAGGAGAGGGGGGTGGAAGGGAAGAGGGAGGTCAGTAGTAATAAGAAGCGGAGAAATAAGGAGAGACACAGCGGGCAGCGGACACGGCAGGGCAAGACAGCAAATTAAACATGAAGGTGATTTAGGAGGACTTACTCTATGACGCCGAGGATTGTCTATGACTAGGGAATGGCGATTTCAGTCAGTCAAGGAAATGCGAGGAAGGGAGTGATTCAAGAAGGAATGAATAGAGCGCAAAGAAGAATAAAAGAAGCAACAGCAAAGCAGCAATGAAGTAACGAAGCAGAAGCAGAAGCAGAAGAGCGGAAAGGAAAGAAGCAGGAGCTGGCCGCGTCGACGGGGGCCTGAGGCTTATCACCACCGGGTCTTTGCGCGGATTGGCGGATTGCCTGGTGGAGAGTGGAAGGGTTGTATGTATGGATGTATGTATCGTACTGTCAGACGTAATTTTACCCAGGCGCAGGAAATACCAGCCGATAAGTGGCTGTCTGTAGAAAGTAATAGACAGTAATTTCGCATTGTGAAGCATTTCAATGGACGATGAATAGGCTATTTTTACCAGAATTTAGACAGAGGTCTCACTTGGCCCATAGAATCATCCACATTGAATGCAATGCAATATTGTCAAGCAGCAATTGTTCTGTAGGTCTCCGTAGAATAGTAATGCATGTCGCCATCCCCCCTTGTACTTGCGTTGCACATTGCAGGCTTCTGTTCTTTTCTTCTCACCCCCCCTCACGTTAGACAACATGACGGGACGATCATTGCAGTCCTTCAGCCAAGTACGTACCCAGTAAGCTCCAACTCCGGTGGGACGAATAGCATGAGTGCTGCCGTGTTTCCTCTCTCGGTGGGAAATGAACAATCCAGAGAGATTGTGTGGTGTGCCTGATCTGGGCCAGCCAGAAAAAGATCCACCGGCGAGTTCGAGTCTATCTCAAACGTCCCACCGAAACCGCGGGTGTGAGTGGCCACTGATAACCCGGCCATTCCACTTTGAACCCTTTTTTTTTCTGCTGCCCTTTCTCTGCACTTCTGGTTCTAGCCCAGTCTCAGTCTCAGTCTCTCAGTCCCACGATCAACCAGCTGCACTGACAGTCAGCTTGATCATTCACACAAGCCTTGTTAGACGGTTTCGAATCCCAACCAAGAAGGCAAAAGGTTGTGCCCATGTACAGTCCTCGTGTATGTGGAACAGAACATCCTTAACCTAGTTGTTGTTGTATGTAGTACAGCAGCAGCAGAGAGAAACAATGCCCTTGTCAATTGCCCTCCCTCCCCCTCCCCCTCCCCCTCTTCTTCAATCACAACACAACACAACCTCGGCAATTAAAAGGCCACTGCAGGACAATCGAAACTTCCCCAAGAATCAAATCCATCAATAGGAACAACCCCCAATCCCACCTGATGCTTGCCGATCAATTCATTCGTCCCTGTTGAGAAATGAAAATCTTGGACGATCGAGCAAGACAGCAGTGAACATAACATAGAGTCTGAAACACGTCTTTTTTTTTTCACGACTGTCAGCCCGCCGCCCGGCCTGCTGGTGTGGGGCTCGTATCGGGCGCGCGGAGTTTGATGTCTTTCTCTGTCTGGAAGGGATCTGGCCCGTTGCAAATCTGGCAGGATCTTGTACGGGTTTGGGAAGGGGGAAGGGGGAGCAGGAGACGGAGCTCGGAGGGCCTCGTGAAGGGTTCACTCAACGATAACTATTCGAGGTTTGCAAGTTTACACAAGTGTGATCTTTTCCCTAGCAGGCTGTGGACCATGAATAAACTAGTGGTATTGTGTACAGTACAAACCGTAACAACTTCCTTCAATGTTCGGAAGACGGTTTGTTTTTAGAGGAAGGCTTGTCCCACAATTCTCATTCTACTAACGTTACCCATCGCCTCGAATACCTCAAACAGTCAGCAATACGACGATCCGTAAATCAACACGACTCGCTGAATTATTTTTTTCTTTCCTTTCTATGTTCAAGTAGCACCTAGAAGTCACATTAAATAATGCCTGGACCAAACACACCTGACGTTCAAATCATAATCTCATAATGACTAACAACTCCTCAACCTGGAATCAATCGCAAACTGTTCGATTGCAGATTTTGACTCCAGAAGGAACCTTAGTACTTGCAAAAGCAACCAAAATAAGAGGCCGTCCCGGCAGCACGACAGGGATGCCGTAACGAATATACCTGGGTGAGTGACTCAGAGGCATGATCATGTTGGCGATCGGGCACTCGAGAGACGAAATGTAAGCTGGCTTACTATCACTGTTGGCGGTTGCAAGATCACATAGTATTGTCAGCTTCAACTGACCAGAGTACTTTAGAAACAGTTCATGTCATGTCCATTAGATCCTCCCAGAAGCGCCCCAATAAGATCTATCTAACGACCACCCAAATCCGATGCCATGCCAGCAATCATAGTGTAGCAGTTCAAGCAAAACCACAAGAAAAATGAAAGAGAATGGAAAAAAAGTACAAACACAGCATGAAGAACAGAAGAATCAAAAGTCGTATACATCGTCATCAAATCATGCAAAATAGAGGAGAGATATGCCGAATGCAAGTCGAACGCCCAACCGAGGTCCTCTCAACGCAAAGAACATACAGGGACCGCGCAGTGGATGCGATGGCGCGAGGCAGGAAGACATAAGTTGTGGAGATCCCATGCAGAGGTAGATGATAGCCGGAAAGAGAACCGAGGGACGCACACGATCAGCAGCATCCCCCTTTCTTCCTGGCCACCTCCACCGGAACATCGACCTCATCGCCCTGGCTGCTGGGCGGGAATCCAAGCCAACTGCGTCGCTTGTCGCCGTACCCCAGCCGAAAGCTACCGCTGCCATCGATATTCGCCGGACTGGCCGGGGGCATGCCATCGAGCGAGGACGGCGACAGCAGCGACGGGCTCAGCCCGGCCTCGCGCTTGTTGCGCTGCTCGACCAGCTTCCGCGTGATCACCCTAAACACCTCCTCGATGCCCTCCCCGTCCTTGGCGCTGATCTCGTGGCAGCAGTCCCATCCGATATCCTGGCCCCAGAACCCGCTGCTGCGCTTGCTGTCGATGCCCTGGGGCGTGCTGGACGAGGGGCCGTATCCCGCGGATGGAGGAGGGGTCGAGGCTTGGGTGGGGTAGAGCTGTTCGGCGACGTAGGCGATGGTGCGCTCGAAGGGGACCCGGCGGCGCGTGGGTTCCATGGTCACGATGTCGGATTTCGTTCCCACCACGTGGATCACGATGGGGTCGTCCTCGAAGACGTTCTTCTTGAGCTCGAGGAGCCACCCGGTCATTTCTTGGAAGCTCTGTTCGTCGGTGATGTCGTAGCAGAGGAGGCAGGCGTTGGCGCCGCGGTAGTAGAGTCGCGAGATGCTCCGGAACCGTTCCTGGCCAGCAGTGTCCCAGATTTGGAGGCGAACAATGGTATCGGAGGCGCTGTCGAGGACGCGTTTCGTGACAAAGGAGGCGCCGACGGTGGATGCGGTGCCGGCGGGATCGAAGGCGTTCTTGACATAGCGTTGGACGAGGGAGGTTTTGCCCACGCCTGCGCCATGGATGTGTGTTAGTAGAGTTACATGTAGTGTTTGTGTCTGCTATTTTGTTGTTGGGAAGATAACTGACCCTGGGCGCCGAGGACCACAATCTTGGCCTCAAGAGATGAGCTCATGGCGGGGTAGAGAAAGAGGCGGGGCCGAGGGAAAGCTGGATTTGCATGTTCCAGCAGGAAGAAGAGATAAATGAAAGAGCGCGCACGCGCAAATGAGATAAGTTTGTACAAGAAGAAAAGGGGAAAAAAGAAAGATAAGACAGAGAGTGAAAGAGTGTCAGAGTGTGAGAGGAAAACAAGCGAGAGGCGTGGAGTGTGAAAGGATCAGTCAGTCAGTTAGAGTCAAGCAAGCAAGCAGGCAAGCAGGCAAGCAGGCAAGCAAGCAGGATTCAAGGAAGACGAGCAGCAGCACGCAGTCATTTCCAAGAAAGCGGGAACGAGGCTCAAACAACCAACCCACCAGCCATTCGTTCATTCACTTCTTCATTTCATTGATTCACTTCAGCCCCTCCTCCTCTCTCCTCCTCTCTCCTCCACCCTTTGACCCTCCGCCTAAGATCAAATCGGAGCCATCACGAACTAAAGCAGATCAGCCGATCACTGACGTCTGTCTGTCGTGCTCCCCGGTGCGCTCTTTCCCTCCTCTTATCGCAGTCAACTGGACTGTGAACAAGAATCGGAACACAAATAACTCAAGCCACTTAATCGAAGCTGTGTGCAAATGGGTTGAGCACTCATTGCAATCAATAATGTTCACATATCCAGACGCAACAGTGAAATCTGGGTAGTTCCCTTTTCCCCAAAGACCCTTCCTTCGGCCCCCCCTTACAGGGATCAGCTGGGCTTGCTTGCTTGGCTGCAGAACTTCTAGCCACGGAATTCGCCTCGAAACATTCACAATCAGAAGAAGACTCCCTCCCTTCGATCGGTCTTTTCCGGAGCCATTGCTGACGAACGTAAATGATGGACTTTGTCCGGGAGTTCATCCCATCCTTGCAAATTTTGAGCCTCAGTCCAGAGCTATTGCAGGGCACAGACCGCTAGAAGGTGCGAGAGCCCGCGAAGAACGAGGTTGGAGCTTCTAGCCTTTTTTTTTTCTCCTTCCCTTCCCTGCTCTCAACTCCCCTCAAGCGATAAGCGACCGACCGAGCGAAACTCGGACCACCTGCATGCAGGTCCCGCGGATTTCTACCACTCACTTTTCAACCAGACAGTCGGGACCTGGTCAATACTTTAATCTACTCGCGACAGGCCAATCCAGAATTTACGAATAGAAAGTGGTCAAGTCCAAGAAAATGCGCTTTTGAAATCATTCCATGTTCTATCCACACCTTTCACGGGTGGTGATCGGCCATTTTGGCCGATCCTGAGAAATGTACAGAAACTCTCACCATAAGGCAAAACAAGACAAACATTTGAGCCTCGACCTGTTCCACACATGTCCAGTCACTCAGAGGGGTAATCGCGTACGAAAATACAAAAAGATCAGAACAGTAATCTGGGGGAATCTATATGTTCAACGAGTCGGGGGCGTAGCCGAAACAATGCCAATACCACAATCATGTAACTCCGGTCGTAGACCAGCATTGTCCTCTGTCATACCAAAGCGACAGAAGTTTTGGAAGACAGAATAACAACATCACAAGTAAAGAAAAAAAGGACCAAGCATTGAAATTGCATCTAGCCGCCTTCTAGGGTGTCACACAAGCGCAGACAACCAGGGCTGGCAGCAACGAAAGGTCCGAAGCATGCAACACGTCAAGGCATTGACTCAAACGTTATGAAAATGACATGCGAGCATTTTACTCGAAGTCCTTACCGCTGTTCGAGCCGGACAGATCAGCAGCGCTCGTCTTCTCTTCGTCGTTGGCGCCACCGAATCCGTACTCCATGGCTTTCTGCTCGACTTCGTCGTCCGTAAGCCTGGGAAGATCCTTGGCAGCCTTGACGTAGCTGATATTTTCGGTGAAGCCCTTGGCGAAGATGATGTCAATTTCCTCCAAGCTTCGGTTGGCTGTCTCCGGGTAAAAGAACCAGATGAAGGGAATGAAGAGGGCGTTCATGGCAGCGAAGAAGCAGTAAGTACCCCAGCCAATGTTAGACACCATCACGGGGGTAATCATAACAACGAAGAAGTTGAACAGCCAGTTACTGCATGTAGACACAGCGTTCGCCTTGGCCCGAGTCTTGATAGGTGACAACTCGGCCGGGTACAACCAGGGCAGAGGAAGCCAAGTAGCACCAAACGCAGCCATGTAGAGGAAAATGCCGAAAATCGATCCCTTGGCCGTCGACTTGGTACCGGGAATAAGGCAACCGAAGGTAATAATCATCGCAACACACTGAACGATAGAACCGCCCAGGAAAAGCTTGCGGCGACCGATCTTTTCAATAAAGAACCAGGAGAACGTAGCAAAGATAGCATAGACAATCATGTTGACGCCGGAGATCAAAAGGGCAAAGTTAGTACCCTCTTTTAGGTTTTCTTCGAGGAGCAGGGGCAAGTAATAGATGACCGCGTTGCAGCCACCGAGTTGCTGGAAGATCTGAGACGAAGAGCCGATCAACATGCGACGAAGATGTTGAGAACGACCGCCGGTGAGCAGGTCACGATATGTCACACCCTGACCCGCAGCACTCGAACTATTGACATCGGTGTTAGCCTCCTGCGCGACCAGGGACTCAGATTCGCAATGGCTGCGAAGGTGACTAGACTTACGCTCTGATGGAGTCGATGACCAGCTGCTTCTGGAGCTGTGTCTCGTGGTCGTTGATCTCGAAGCCACCCAGAGCCGCCAGCACGTACTCTCCCTCCTGGACGCGATCCTTGGCAATCAAGTAGCGCGGGGAATCAGGAAGGTAGTACATTCCGACGATGATAATCAATCCAAAGAAGATCTGGAAGGCGATGGGGAAACGCCACACGAGATCCTTGTTACCGAAGTGGGCACCGTAATCGATCCAGTAGGCAATAGCAGTACCGATAGCGATGATACCACCCTCAATACAGATCAGAAGACCACGGTTGCTTGTTTTTGAACATTCAGCCTGGTAAGTAGGAATGGTTGAAGTATTCATTCCGTTCCCGATGCCGGTGATGACACGACCGATGAAGAATTGCAACAGGGGGATGTGGCCGGCAAACGAGGTAACCTGGATAATAACACCGATGATCATGATAGTAGCTCCGCACATGATGATCAAGCGACGGCCAAGTCTATCACCAAAGAACAGAGCGAACAAAGCGCCAAACAAGCAGCCTGCATGGTGTGGTCGTTAGGAATGATCAAATGCTAACCTGATACAGACTGTGAAGTATACGAACCCAACTCATAGACCGAGGTCACCAAGGCCTGCATCGTGGCATTGCCCTTGGTGGCAGTGAAAAGGTCTTGGAAAGCCGTGTCGCTGATAATACCGGACATGACACCCTCTATAGTAAACTAAAATTAGCTCAAGACTCTTCATGGTGGCTCCCAGAGACACCCGGTAAAGGATCAAGACATACGATCGTAACCGAACAAGAGGAAGCCCATCGTAGCAATGGTCGAGATGGACACGGACAATTTCTTGCCCGACATCCCTGCGTACGTCGGCGCCATGGTGATAGGATCTGTACAAGATAACGGCAAACACTCAAAAAGATAGATGTAGAGGTTGAGGAATCCCAGTCAAGATGGATGGGATATCTAGAGCGATCGAACACTTAAGTTGAGTCGCTCTCTTCTCCAATGAACTCTTGTTTCAGTCGAGTCTCCCTTTGCTCGGTTTCACCCAGGGCTAGGAGAGGAGAAGAAGGAGGGATGCAATAGAGATGAGTGAGAATGAGACAAAATCCGAACGCGGAGAAGTCGGGGAGGGAAGGGGGGGGATTATCTACTTATCCCCATGGTGCTCACGGTCTCATGCATGCTGGTTGACAATCTCTTATCCCCTAAGCTGCTGGGCGAATACTCCACTAGTCGGCGACGGACATTGAAAACATAACCACACTCCTCATTATTGTTTGTTTTGTGGAGCAGCAGGGGACCGAATGCATCAATAACGCTGGGTTAAGCATCTTTTGGGGGTGGATCCAGAGGCCCACTGTGGGTGGGCAATGAGCAATGACATCACGGCATTTTCCTTGGGACCACTAAAACATTTCCCTAGAAATTAATTTAATTATTTTACTTCTTTTGTGAAATAATTCAGGAAAAGAAAAAGAAAAAGAGGAAGAAAAAAAATAAAAGAAAAGACATAAATGGAGGGGGGAAATATTGTAGCCGCAAAAAAGGGGGACCGGGAGGAAGGCAAAGAATCGTACCAAGGATTGTTATTCAATCCCACCCGAGGCTACCTGAGGATCGGGATGGGCCCTGCAGTTGGCCCTTTGTGGGTGAGTGAGTTAACATAGCAGGTGTCACTCGTTATTGTCCATTTCCGACACACAGGTTAAGACGCAGCATCGGGGCCATAATGGAAGCAAGGCTACAAGCCTGTGACATGTCTAGCAGTCACAAGTACGTGGCTGTAGTGTCCGAGAAATGCTTTTTCGGCAGACTGCGCGTCAAGGAATAATAGAGGTAACTGTCGGTAGAAAGGCCCGGCGTAGAAGATCTGATGATGGGCAACATAGCCCAGCTGCCTGCCGGAGCGGAACTGCCGATTCCCAACGTGGAATCAACTGTGCAGGGCTGAGTTGCCTGTTGAATAGGCATGTTCCACTCAATTGAGCAACTCAAGCGAGGGGTACTTCATGATGGAGAATCCTCGTGCCGGCTGAATGATCTTACATGTTATCTCGCCTGCCTGGACTGGACTCCTGGAGTCAGTGCCCGCTCCCGGGGGAATCTGAATGCGGGCGCCATTGTTGTTGCAGTATTTGAGCCTCCAAGACTCGATTCCCGCTGCCTAACATCCACCATCATCAGGGTTCAACACACGTCTATTGCAATTGCATCACAGAACAAGATCTCCCTGCCCATGCAGCTCCAGGTCACTTAAGGCACATAAGGCAATGATGGTCAAAACTGAATGCGCGCAGCAGTCGGCCCTCCTTCGGGAAGCCGTTTCCGTAGGCGGTGCCATAAAGTTTTCCCGACTGCGCCTAGCGTTGAGACTGCAAGGTGAGACGACCTTGCGCCATTGGCAATATTCAATTAGCTTATGATGAATAAGTACCTATTAACTAACTATCCATAATTTTCGAGAATATCGAATGTCTGACTGGGAGAGGTTTAGACAGGTGTAGGGTTAACACACATCTTCGTCCAGTCCATTGCATTGGGTGGGAGGGCCCTCGTTGCTGATTCGGTCCCACCGCTCACCAAAATCTGGTTGCTCCCCACTTGGTCTTCCCCTCTCCATCTCCAGGCTCCATTTCCCCTCCCGTAATATGGGTTCAATATCCCTCCGCGTCTTTCCACTCCGTCGCGAGTCACGCATTTCTTCGCGGTTTATTCAGCCTTCTGAACCCGCGGTTTTCGTGATTATGTCTACTTCGCGAGGTACACCTACTAGAATTTATATTCTCGACTTTAAGACACCTTACCCGTCATTGGGTCTTTGGGGGTGTCCGACGCTCTCTATGTCCGCAGTTCCACTCGGAACCGGAAGGGACTCAAGATCGGGAAGGCCGTTGGCCCGTCCAGGTACCCCCGAAAGTCGGCGGAAAAAGTAATTGACGACTCAGTCAGACATTCTGTAGTCATGAGACTGCCAAGCTTGCGATAAAAGTCGACGTGTGTCTCCTGCGATCTGCCTGGCTACTGTAACCTCGAAGCCCCCACTGACACTAAGCGAATTCGGGTGATTCTCTGGATTCCACCCTTCGGCGCTGACAAGCAATGAATCAGCACTTTTCGTTTGGAACCCATGCGCGCCGGGTTGCTTAGCAGAGCTTAGCATATGCCCTAATGGTCGAAGGATGACATGCTTGTCTCGTGCCGCAGAGTTGGTGGTGATCATGACGAGCTCGATCTAATTTTCATCTCGCCATTACGTCAATGGCGTCTTTGAGGCCGCATTGGCCATAAAAGCGAAGACCAAGCAAAAAAGAAGAAAAGAACACTATGCTTGTTTGGCCCTGGTGCACGAGATGTCCCAAACTCACAAGCCCTCGTCTCGGCAAGAGACGGAGTGGGGGAAAAGCTTGTGGGGAAGATCCAACCTTTTTGGGCAGATCAAGTGGGGGAAAGTCGGGGACTAAAAGAACGCGCACCTGCCGCCAATCGTCATTTGAATGCTTCGTCTTCTTGTACCCAACGAATGCGATCCATTGGTCAATGAAATTGCCAGTCAGTCAGTTCCTGATTCTGCGCCAATAGAACAGCTTGGTTCTGCTGAGCAAGACAATCTGACCTCTGCCCCTCAAGTCCGAATCCTACCCATGGCCCCATTGACTCTTGTCGGGGAAATTCATTTCCTTCCAGGAAGGAGACTTTCGATTCTTCGAAGCAGCATCTTCCGCGCTAGTCTTCCGACATTTGACGGGCAGACTCATGTAGCAAAGATCGACATGAACAAACGTGTCAAAGTCCACTTGAATAATTGTCTGACCAGCCGCTATATTGATCCGAAGAGCAATGGTGTAGCTACCGACCAAGCAGTTTGGCATAGAGCGGTCCGGATAAAAGAAACGGTCGTAGCGAAAATAAGACACGCGACAGCCGAGGTAGTGACGACATCGACGATGGTCGGGTTGATTTCTTTTCTGATCGTGAGAATCGGGAGATGATAATTGTTACCTGCATGAGAATTGGCCCCATGCTGCGGTCGCTAGCATTGAGATGATACGTTTCAAGTAATGATCACCGCATTAGGCAGGTATCAAATGTCCGGAGAGGGAAGAGGTCCGCGCCGTCTCAGGCATCAGTATCCATGTCCTGCTCAGTGGACGGAAAGCACGATAGCTTTTCTGGGCTAACACGGACCGAGTGGGTGCATCGTCCTCTACGTCTGAAGAAAACTCATACAACGGGGTGTTGCGGTGAGGCCATCGGCCTTCATCCGACTTGTTTCCGAGACTCGGGTCGAATTTTGAAGTTGACTAACTGGTTGAGATCTCGACGGAGACGGCCCGAGGGTTGAAACCGACTGCACACGGTCGGGCTTGGCTGCGACAAAGATTCGGGATGGAACAACGGAACGGGGATTCGATTGTTGAGAATGTCGACGCTTCAGGAGATTCGACCCGCCTGACAGTGCGGAAATTTCCATTTCGCATACACCGTATCACGTAAGAGGTCACCGTTGCATGATCAGCCCATCATTGGCGGACACAAGTGGACTGAATAGAGCCGACATTGAGTGAGAGAAAGTCAAAGCTCGCCGGTTGTCCCAAGGGAAACCACAAACTTCGATCGAATTATAATGGATGGTAAATATCTGGCCCCTCGCTAGCCAAGCTGCATTCCGGCGACATGAGTAATTAGTTGATTGGTGGTTGGTTGTTTAACAAGGGATGGCCGTGGGTTGACACCTGAAATGAGCCGAAAATTGAGGTAGCTTGCAGACCATGCTGTATCTGACGAGAATCTCGTGTCCGAGGTCGTGACTGTGCTGGAGCTTTCGTTGAACGGAAGACTCAGCAGGTCACATAGCTTTTTATAAGATTGCTCTGCGCACGAGCTCGTATGTCCAGGGGTAGAGAGATCGGGAGCCCGATGCTTCTTATACCTACCAGCGGACCCGGCACCGGCGTGCCGAGTGCCAAAGGCCATCTCGGTCTGGATGCCGGAGCTCTCGGAGCTTCGAGTCACGAGGACACGCAAAAGAAGAAAGATATAGGATCGTGGAGTCCAGACTTGGGCCAATCAGGGGAATAAAGTACCCTCAGCTTGTGCGACGTGAAGAGGATGGAATGTGGACAGTACTGAAGGCAGGTTCAGAGAGTGCTTCACATGCAGACTCCCCAGTTCTAGAACCTCCATGCCAAAACTGCCAACCCAATCAAGGGCGACGCTTTCAGGCATCAGCTCCTCTTTCGTCAATTGCTACTCAGTTTCCGTCGCGGTGAAGGCTCATAAGATCCATTGTGGCTTTGCAGGTCAACAACTGCAACTAGGAAGCAATAAAAGTATGGCAGCCTACGGAGTAGAGTTGTAGCACTGAAGCCTGTTCCTTGCTGCATGATCCGTGCGTACCTGACAGCTGTAAACAAAAAAAGATCGGATTTGCGGCTTATGTAAGCAACAGCTTCGACTTTGTCTGACTCGGCATTGTTTCTCGCTTTCTTGGGGTTGTTCATTCAACTTGCCCATTCCTCGGCACATTCCTGTCTGACCTACGTCCAAAGACAATTGTGTAGCAGCAATAAAAGTGTTTATCGCATCCGCATGTACCCCATGCGTGACACCCTATCCCGTAACGTTATGCCGGTGGCACTACGAGCCGCTGCCCTTGCTTATCGACGGCAACGAGGGCTCTGTCCATTTTCCCCCTTAGGTATACCGCTATGCGCTGCTACGCCCCCTTGCCCCCTCTTAAAGCAAGTGCTGTCTATCCCGGCAGGTCGGTTCGGAATTACCGGATATGATGCGAAGATATCATTCGGAATGTCGATTTCCGCGATCTATAGAATTTTGTGTCACCACTAGCAGCAAATAGACTCGGCGATCGCTGCACTGGACTATATGTGCCTCCCAGTCCTACGTGCCGTGCCGTGCTAATGCACCTCAGTAGTTCATAACATAGGCTTTCTTCGGAAGTCGCTTGATTAACCTACTAAATATTCTCTGATGTGACTGATGTATTACCGGAACGAAGCGAGAGGGTGGAATCAATGGCCTTTCATGTCTCAGCGGGATACCCCTACTTCGGAGGTATTGTGTCTTCGTCCGCATCTCAATCGGCATACTAGGACTCTCAGCGAGAGCGATGGAAACATGTAGCAATCACTGATCTGGAATATAAGACGCCGATTCCTCTGCTAGCAATATTCTGGCGACCTCAAATCCACGTGTGGACAGCGATGAGGGTGGCGCTTGTCATTTCTGAACACCTGGTCGATGATCCTGCCTGCCCTAGCTACTCGTATGCATCATCATCAATCTGCGCGTGATGGATGCTTTCCCTGTCCTTGGTATTCCGTCGCAAAATTATGACAAGCGCACAGACTTCCCATACCACCCTAAAAATCATGGAGCTATATTCTGCGGTTCTCATTCAACGGCAAAGTGCTCGGACGCAATTCTGTTGAGACAACAGCCGGAAAGCCTGTCTACCATTTAGACGTTTATCTTTTCATGGAACATCCAATGACTTCATGGGCTTCCTACGCCTGATCTATCCTTCATGTGTCTGATACGGTTTTGGTGCGGGGAAGAGGTATATCCGGGGCAAAGCCTGAGGCAGACAACTCTAGTCAACCAACCCATGTGGCCAACGACGTGGAGTACATATCCCACATAATGAAAGAATATCATTGCATCGGATAACCTGCCATTTCAGACCATCCCTGAGAATCCGCAATCAACTCCGGCTTTTCTGAATGTCCCATGCATAGCAGCATGACTCGCTTCGGCGTCTTAGCTCAATCCTGGCGCGCAATGAAATCCTGGTAGCCTTTGCCGAAGGCATCGCTAGCTACCAGAATTTCCACTAACTATCACAAGAGAGCATGACGACCTTCTTCTCACCATTCGGCCCCAACATGGCAACTAACGCCGTCGGGCAAGCTCTTTGCTTATACGTGGTCAGAGCCCCACCTGCGTTCAGACTTGGTTGCTTCCCGGGCGAGTCGTCATTTCCGGAGACGGCCGGCAAGAGTGTTTCTGGGGCACATGGGGGCTCATCTCCTCCCCCCCCTCATTCTCCAAAGGGAGAAGAAAAATCTGTCCGGGGGCCCGAAGTAGTCGTCAGTTAGCTCTCCACAACTCCTGATTCCGGACTCCGAGACCAAAGTGGTTAGGATAATGTCTTTTCCGCTGCGGTTGTCATCCTCCGGACGATTCCCGTGAGCGATGAAGTTCACAGCAAACGACAGATTCTCACAACGTCTTGCCCATGTCATAACCAAAGACAGTTTGATAAAATTTGCTTCTTCCTGAGGGACAACCACCATGGCTTCGGGCTGGTGATAAGACCGGACTTGGGTGAGCGAGGGGCAAATGCTGCGCTGCCACGGGCTACAGATCGATGCTCGCTCAGATATTTCTCATACAATCTGAAAACAGACATCGTCTACAGAGAGTGTGCCTAACTTTCTCGGCACCTTTACAGCGGCGGTCAATGTGAAAGATGCTGGCAGATGACAGACCATTTCGTTTACATGCAGCCAGCCACCAATTTCTGAGCCATCAGACCAGAAAGCTCTCGGTAAGACTTGAGTTATCTCATCCGCTGCACGACCCGGCTCATTTGGGGACCAGGGCAAACCCACCTTTTTACTGCACTCCGATTGTGCCGTACTACAACTTGAGAGTTCCGGCTAGAGCCCCCCTCACCAGCCTCCGTTGCTCTGAGCTTCGACGCAGCCAGATACTTCTGATGTCGCGCTGACCGACATGCTCCCCATTCCTCCCACAACATCGTCCGTATACATGCGTCCCTCGGCACGCGACACTGACCCGGCGCAATGCAGCAACTTGTGCTCGACCTAGATCCTGAAGAAAACAAGCAAGAAAATCCCCAAGATCACGTCTGTTTACTTTAGATTCTCATACCCGCCGCAGGAACAAGCTCCAAGCGAATGAAGTTAATATCTGGGGTCTGCTCGCCACTGCTTGTATTCAAGTCGGCCGGATGTGGTAATGTAGTGCAGCTCAGCATTCACATTCCTCCAAAGCGCGTTATGCCATTTTACAGCAAACTGAGCGTAGCTCAGGCCATGTCACTACGCGGCAATCTTTTCATCGCTTAGCCGGCCGTTGGTGCGAAAAGAAAATCTCCTCCTGGCACCAGCTGTCGCCTCTCCGCCAAGACTCTCCGACTCTGGGATAGATAAGAAGCCTTTGTCGGATTAGAGGCGGCCCACGGGGAAGTATATTGACTCGGGAGGGGATGGCCTAACTTTGAGGCAGGGGAAACGGCCCACGATAGATGAGCAAGTTCGGGTGGTTCGGAAGGACATTATCGAGGTCGTATCCGGACTGTCGTGAATAAGGTTGAACTCCCAAAGTCGGCAATTAGTGTTTCATTCAGGGGGTGCTGTCTGTGGTCCTGGTGAGATGGAGAACGACGGGAGCGGACCTAGGACGGGCATGAAGGACATAGCAAAAGATATATAGTACTGTGCGTGCGGCATGAGCTTTATTCTATGATTATCCACAGTAGAAACACATCCCGTTCACTAAAATCGCCTAGAAATATTGTGAAATGAAGATCAACAATGCTACTAAGATAATCAATTTTACAAAGTAGAGTCAAGACACTGTTCAGCTGTAAGACATATATATCCACCCGGTCGACCAGGCTCAATGTAAAACCCACTATGGCTAGCCGGATACAGTAGAATGCGTATGACTTCTCCTAGCAGTCACATCATGCGTCTAGTGCAATCAATATTATGGTAAGACAGCTAAGCTTAACCAAGATATCTGGCTAAGGTGGAGAGTTTCTCGTCGTGGGAGAGCGATTAAGGTGATCTTGGAGGACATGTCTGTATCTATTGAACAAAAAACGCTCCCGCATAAGATTCTGAGGGTATCCCATTGCACCAGCCATTCTCCATATATAAAATTTCACTACATTCAGCCTTGAATGGAATGGTAATTTCCAGATGATCTTGGCCTATTGTGGATCAAATCTGATATTGCCGTTTTCGGCCACGGAGGATCGACTGGACCCTGGACCAACCCGTTCATTGAAGATACCCCAAGAATCTTAGTCTTACGTAGTAGCCCAAGAGTCGAGTTATCTGATCCCACTATGATCGTACTATGAAATGAGTTGCCATTAGTCACTCACACAATAAGGAACCTGGAGATTAAGTTGAGCTGTGGCTATGCTCCTATGGAGACGTCAAAGCAGGCAATCTCGAAGGAGAAAAGCCGAGAATGAATGAGGATCGATAAGTCGGCCGAGAAGAGCCCGTCGCCCGAATTGCGCTGGCAAACCCGGGTCTTTTTGGCAGTGGGTTGACCAACGACCGCTCTGCGATTTCCCACCGGCCGGTGTCAGCGTTCAATAGGCTCGCTGGACATTATCCCGAGGATCATTTCCCCAGTCCGTCTCCTCCACAACTTAACTTGAAGTCTATCTGTCCGCCGTGACGTTCTTCCATAAACCCGTGCTTCTCGGGCGAATCATTCCCTCGGCCTCCTTCACCTTTTCGTCCTGAATCCTTCTTTTTAACTTCCGATTCTTTG